GTCTGGACACTTCTTTAGAAAGGGTCCAGACTCGAAACGTCAGCTTTCCTGCTCCTTGGCCTGCTGTGTTCATCCAGCTGTACGCCTTGTTATCTCAGATTCTCCAGCATCGGCAGTTCCCACTATCCTTGAATTTTGTAACGCTTTTCACAACCTCAGACATTTGAAAGTAGTTTTGAAGTGTGATTGCTGTTGTAATGTAGGAAAAGTGGCAGCAAATTAGTGCAGGTCCACATCCTCCAAACAGCAGTATGACAATGACCAGATAATCTGTTACAATATTAGTTGAAAGACCAATATTGGCAGCACCACATAAACTATCAGTGTGCCTCAATAACAAATGAAACTGTTGTATGAAAAATTAAAAAACAGTTTGCCAGGATTGTGAGAAGAACTCACTGGAGAGGGTGCAAAGGAGATTTACCAGGATGTTTCCAGGGCTGGAGAGTATAATTCTGAAGAGAGATCAGATAGATAGGAGTTGTTTTCCTTAGAGCAGAGAGATTGAGAGAGGGCATGATTGAGATGTATAAAATTATGAGGGGCATAGATAGGGAGACAGGAAGGAACTTTTCCCCTTGGTGATACGATCAGTGACCAGAGGACATAAATTTAAGGTCGGGGCAGGAGATTTTGAGGGGCTGTGAGGAAAAATGTTTTCCCCTAGAGAGTGATGTGAACCTGGAATTTACTGACTAAGGGTGATATAGGCAGAAACCCTCATGACATTTAAGAAGTATTTCGATGTATGAGCAGGACATACAAGGCTGTGAGCCAAGTGCTGGAAAGTGGGATTAGAATAGTTAGGTGCTTTGTTTTGACTGATGGAGACTTGATGGGCTGGAGCGCCTTTTTCTGTGCTTATGACTATGACTGTAATACTAATTCCCAGTCTTCTTGAAAACAGTGCTAGAAGTCGTTTGCAACCATATGAGAGGACAGATGTTTTAACATCTCAGCACTCCAGTGCTGCAGGCTCTTAGTACTGCCCTGAAGTGTCAGCCTGAGTTATATGTTAAAATCTCTGGAGAGATGGATATCCTTATTTTAGAGAAGTCTTAAGATGCAGTAGTAGTATCCCTACCTCTGGGTTAGAAAGTCCAGAAGATGTGCCATAGCATGTATAAGCAGCTTGATTAAAATAGTAACCACCACCTTAGCAATGGCTGACACTTAGATATCCGCTGGTGCTTAAATACGCAGCATCAATTGAAACAGGACTAAAGATGGCCATTCAGCCCATTGTGTCTGTAAAAGTAAAGTTGTCATCGTTCCAGAGGTCTATCAGAGAGAGACCACTGATGGTGCAACCTGAGGGTCACTACACCTAAGGCGAGGGGAAGAGGTTGAGAAGGAGAGTCCTTCATTGTAACCTTGGCTGGTATGGGAATTGAACTCTTATTGTTGGTGTCACTCAGAATTGTAGACCAACTGTCCGGCCAACTAAACTAACTGACCCCTCATTTTGCTTTGTCAAAACCATTCATTTTGATCATCTCTATTAAAATTTCTCTTAAGCAAAGCAAACAACGATAGCTTTGCTATTGTCTCCACATGATGAACTACTTCTTTAAAATTCATCCTGACAGATTTCGGTGAAGGGGGGCAGCTCACCACTGGTGTCCTTGGAGTGTGTCTCCTGTAAAGCACAGGAGGTCTATGGCGTGAGCAAAAGCTCTTATATTTCCTTGTCTGGAAGCTGCAGCAACTGTGAAAGCAATCCGCAATATGTGGTAAGAGCAAACTTGTGTGCTGCTTCTAACTTAATACAGAATTACTGGGGTGTAGTTAGTAACCACTAATGACCCATTTCACAGTGAATCAACTATTTTAGTTGATCAAAGGAGATGTTGGGGAATGAATTTGAACTTTTGAGGAACCACTCTTGATGGTGTAGGTAAGTGCAGAATAGAATGCACTCTAGTCCAATAACACCCTTGAGTCCACCTTACTCAATTTCTCTTGTTCCATTTCCTCAATCTCTATATTTGTGAACATTAATTGTCATTGTTGGGTAAATAATTGTCCATTTGGGAGCAATTGGCAAGGTAGGAACCAAAGACTGTTGGAACGGGAGCAGTATGCTTCCAGGCAGATCATTATCTATCGAAGAGTCCAGAAATATGTCCAACCAGCATCGCAATTTGAGCCTGATGGCTGAGATGAACCTGCTTGCACCTGCACCACCCACGCCTTCACAAACAGTTTCCAATTTGGAAGAGTTTATTGTAACTGATTGATTTGTTGATTTATTGTCACGTGTATCTGGACACAGTGAAAAGCTTTGTTTACGACCAGTACAGGCAGATTATAGTAAGCAAGGACATACTGATCATAGGGTGAAAAAAGCTAGACAGAGGCATACAGGTTACATCGGACAGGGCATGCGCTGGGCAAGGTCAGTATTATTTGAAGTTGGAGAGTCCATTCATCAGTCTAATTATAGAAGGGAAGATGCTGTTCTTGAACCTGCATGTGCGTGGGTTCAAGCTTCTGTATCTGCTGCCTGACGCGGCAAAAGGCCATGTAAATGGATGTTTCAAATGGTAGATTTTTTTAAGGAAGATCATGTGCAAGGAAGAAAGCAAGATCATTGCAATGAGTTGGGTCTGCTCTGCTTTACACAGGCAGAAAATGACATTTGGTTCAGCGCTACTGACTTCCACTGAGGCCACCATGGTCCCAACTCTGACTTAAAGGAATTTCATGCGACAATTTCCTCCACCATCAAAATCACCTGAAACTGATAGCAACAGTTACCTACCAAACAAGCACAGCAAGAAAATGTCAAATACTGGTGCAGGCATAAAGCAATGTACAGTTAGGAAGATCATCCATCTCTGAATCTGGCCATGCATTGGACTCCCAGATACAACTTTTCAGAAGCTTGTCCCATCTTCACTACTTACTTCACCCACACTTATTATGGCAAATGGTGACTGAATCGTTTGTCATCACTGTTAGAATTTCAGCATCCCCTGGGCAAATCACCATTCAGAAGTGTCTTTCACTTGAACTTTAACCTGCCTGTTTCCTTATCCTAACAGTGGAAAGTAGAAGATTCTAAGAAGCAGTTGCTCACCCTAGACAATGCCACCACTTCTACTGGGAGCACTGGAATGAACCTAGTCATGAGACATGGAGTTCTGGAGGATGGAAATGGATACACATTTAGCTTGAATGTCACTGATCCAGTGATGGACAACATGGGGTTTGCATCAATATATATCCCACCAATTCATCTTCCGTCTGGGGGTGAATGTGTGATTTTCCCAACAGAAAACATCAGTGCTTTGACAACCAGCGTCACCTTTGCATGTACAGGTAAGTCCCATGCTGAACAATTTTGAGAGGTATTTAATTTCTTTGTCAGGACTTGAATGGCGATATTCCCAGTCATTCTCAAATGCCTTAGTTACATCTATAGAAGTTCAACAGTGTTTCATATGTTTCAGCAGCATCTCAAAGTACTTCATGTAAGTGTCTCTTGTGATGTAACCAATGAGCTTTACAAAGCAAGGTTCCATGAACGGAAGGTATACAAAGGATCAATTAATCACAGCCTCTTCTTTTTGCAGCAGGCCAGAGCCTTGGCTTAATGTCAACAAATGCTGCACTTCCTTGGTACTATTCTCAGCTTATGGATTCAATACAATTAATGGTAGGGCCCTGGGTAGTGTAGTATATCAGAGAGACCAAGGGGTTCAGGTCATAATTCTTTGAAATTTGCGTCAGAGGTAGACAGGGTGGTTGACAAAGCATTTAGCATGTTTCCTTCATTGGTCAGACCTTTGAGTATAGGAGTTGGGACATCATGTTGAGTTTGTACGGAACGTTGGTGAGGCCTCTTCTCGAGTACTGTGCAGTCCTAATTGCCCTGCTGTAGGAAGGATAATAAACTGGAGAGAGTTTACAAAAGATTTACCAGGACGTTACCTGGAATGGAGGGTTTGAGTTCTAAATATAGGCTGGAATAGGCTAGGACTTTTTTCACTAGAGCATAGGAGGTTTACAGGTGACCTTGTAGAGGTTTATAAAATCATCAGGGACATGGATAACGTGAATAGCGAACAAAGAAGGGAACATACTTTTAAGATGTGAGGAGAAAGATTCCAAAAGGACATGAGGGACAACTTTTCTACACGGAATGGTTTGTGTGTGGATTGAACTGTCAGGGGAAGTGGTGTATGCAGGTACAAGTTACAATGTTTAAAAAACATTTGGATAAGTACAGGAATAGGAATGGTTTGGAAGGATATAAGCCAAATGCAGGCAGGTAGGACGCGTTCGGAATCTAGTCGGCATGGACTAGTTGGACCGAAAGTTCTGTTTCTGTGCTGTGTGACTCTAAAACTATAACCCCGTAACCTTCTTGGGAGCAAGGGAGTTATTGTGCCGTGCACGTCAGCCCAGAAGATTAGATAAAAGTTGATGCCTCAAGAACAGGCCTGATAAATTTCTCATTGACCCTGATATTCCAAAGGTCATTGGAGCAGCATAGACTGGAATTTCATATTGCAGCCATGAGGAATTTCCAACGCTGTAGACTGCAGAGGAATCCTGCAGGAAATTGAAGCTTCCATAGGGCAATTCCCCTTCATCTAAAACCCTCTGACAAAGCCCCTTATGGTTGGAAACTTTGGAAGATCTTGACTTATTAAGCTTAATAGTTGTCCAGGACACGAAAAGTGTTTAAAAACCCATTCTAATTCTAGGTTCAATAGTAAACTGACCCACTGACCCTGTCCGTTACACCTACTCTGACCCCCCTCCCCATTCCAACCTTGCTGGTTTGCCCCCCCCTTCCTCCTCTTTGCCAAGACCCAACAACCCTTCCTAACTTCCGGACCCGTCATCCATCATACCTGGGGAGAAGATAGTAGGAACTGCAGATGCTGGAGAATCTGAGATAACAAGGTGTAGAGCTGGATGAACACAGCAGGCCAAGCAGCATCAGAGGAGCAGGAAAGCTGACGTTTC